CTCTTCTTGGCAAAACCTTCCTGAGGAGACCTTCCAAAACCATTCTAGTACAACAACAAAAGGGAGTTGAATCAAATAGCTGGAGAACTTCTTCAAGCTTTTGACATATTAAAAGGAAACAAAGAAAAAATCTCAAAGTTAACAGTAACCGTCTTAAAAAAAATAAATGTCTTATCATTGGTACATTTCTCTTTTTTCCCCTTCTTTTGGTGACTTTTAAGAAGTGGCAATAGAAAGAGAATATATAGCAGACTTTTAATTACTTATCAATATTCTGTTGGTTTGTTATGCATGAAAAATTAAGATCTCATGGAGCAAAAAAAAAAAAAATAGCTTCTGCAATCTGCAGATAACAAATTTGTGACTAGGAGAATACTATTTTTGTCTCTCGACTTTTGACAATCTGACAATCTGAAAGATGTTTCATAAGAGACCAATTTTCACCTAGGAAGGAATTTAGAGAATGAAAAGACAATATGAGGTGCACACATAAGTTTCAAGCCTCTTGACAATCTAAATTCTACATCAATTGGCAGATGACTACAGTAACCATAACTGTCTATAACAGTTATCAATACACTAATTCCTCATGACATTCAAAACTTCCAATGTTGAACCATCAGAAAAACAGAGAAGATAACAAAGCCCAGCTTCTACGAGAAAGTAATCAATGTCAACAAAACCCCAATATACAAAGTGATAAAGAAGATAACTGCACAGTACACACATGCCTAAACAAGTTTCCACTTCCAAAGCATCAAATTCATAAAATCCTCAAACAAATTATGTTGATTAAATAATGCACATCCTGTGCTTAGAATGGTCAAATTATTCCAGGACACGTAATCAATTCCAGCCTCCTTTCATATGAGAATCACATAGTACATTGACCCTAACAATAACTACCTAGCCCATTAACTTACAAAGTATCTTTCCTAAATTTTCATTGCTTCTATACAATTTCAATTGCTTCTATACAATTTCAATTATTATTTTTCCTCCCAATTCTACCCTAACAAATAACTGCTGCTGGAAAACATCAAACAGTCAATAATTTTAAATACTTTCATGAGCTTCATAGTTGTGATGTATTTTATCAAGACATTAGACTCATTGCCCAATGAATCAAACAGATCAGATATCCACAAATAGTTGTATTCTCTTTTCAAAGATGCCAAAGTGGCTACTGGCTTCTATTTGCAATTTAGACTGATATCAAATACACACCCTCAAGATACTTAAACATTAAAAAAACAAAAAAAAACTATTTCTATATTTTTCCAGAAAGTTGCTGGCTCACTCCCATATGAAAGATACCAGCTGCAAATTCAAGAACAAATTCAAAAAAACATCTTCTCATTTGGTAATTCGAAAAGTATGTGAGAACCGAGCAAACAAAAGCTTCTCCAGTTTCACGTCAATCCAGTAACATATCCTTTTCATCATCAGAAAGTTGTTTGTTACTTTGTTTAGCATATCCGGACAGCACATTGAGCTTCAAATTTGCAAAAGGATAATATTGACTTCAAATTTGCATAATCCTAAAAACTTCAAATTCACATGGGATAATGGTCAACAAATAGCAATTTTCATTAGCATTTAATTCCTCCTGGATGAGAATTCCCTTTTCTCCCTTTCATAAGCAATATGTGTAGATATGTGAATACCATTAACTAGTCTTCAATCTCCATATTTCACAACTTTTGAACAGCAAACTTCTTGGAAAACTCTTTCCTCTAATAGTTTATATTTTAACCTATCCTCTCAATCTAACGCTCTCAAATTCAAGCACGCTATTGTGTCCTTTTCCATGCATGTCAATTCTGGTTCATTGGACAAGGTCAGGATACAGACGAAAGAGCCAACAAAATTCCACTTTCTACTTCTGATTTTCAATCAAAACCATATTCAACCAAAAATCACCAGCATAAACTCCAATTAATCTCGATAAAACATTAAAGGAAAATAAAGATTACAACATTATTAAAAAAAAAAAAACATCAACCATGTTGGTAAAATCACAACTGCACATACCGGTAGTCCATGTCCTCCACACCAAAATCCAAATGAAGATACTTTAAATGAGAAACCACCCCATCCAGCTCATTCTTGTCCAATAATTCCTTCATAGCATCTAAATGCACAATCTGGACACATCTTTGCGCCAACCTAAACACCCTATCCTCCACCTCCATTCGTTTCCCTTCCGTCCTCAATGTAATTGCCATCCCTGAATCATCCTTCTGAATCATACCCAGCTGTTTCTCAATATTCACACACAACACATCAAAAACCTCTGCATTTTCCAAAATTACCCTCTTCAAAACCATCATTTCCTCTTCCCCAATCTCCTCAACAGATTCTGCAACCCCCTCCCTCTCCTCCTCTCCCTCTACTACCATCATGTCCGGCCTCAATCGGCTCAAACCCACATTAGAAATCCTATCCAAAACCCACAAACACTTACCATTTTCCTTGTCCAAAATCCTAAAACCGTCCTCTTTCGCCAAAAACTCAACCGGGATATTGAAATTTCTAAAGCCGCCTTCATTTCCCTGAATTCCATTCAACTCTACATGCTTTTTAACACTCTCCACCACCCTGTAACTTACAATTTGCACATACAACAAGAACTCAGCCCTCAATTTCAAGCTATTTTCGTCGAACGACCAGAGCCCCAGAACGGGTTCATTGAATTGCAAAAGTTCGAGGGTTGACAAAAAGGCGAGGAGGGATGGGGAAGGGCAGGAATGGTGAGACCAGAGGACTGAGTCGAAGCGGCCACCTTTGGCTACAATTGTTTGCAAAATTGATCGGGCAAGCTCCGGGCTTCGGACTCGGAGACTACGTAAAGTCGCCCGAAGTGGCTCGAATTGGGCTAAAAAGAGATGGTTTGCTGTGAGTTTACAAAGGAACTCCGTTTCTTTGTCTTCCATGGATAATCTATGGAGAGATTAACCGGTATTGATGCATACATACAGCTTCGGTAAACGTCTAGGTTTCCGTCCAAAAAGGACCGCCGCAGCGGAGTTGAGATCGGTTAATATATAGTTGAAGAAATATGAGAGGGAAAGTTGGATGCTGGGATTATTATACAAGCAAGATGAGTTGAGCTGGGGATGCAGGAAAGCAAGAACGAAGGGGAGCAAGAAGGGTTAATTTCATTTTGCACCCTTTAAACTTCAATTTTAGAAATGAAACACCCTACTCCCTAAATTATAAATTTCGTCCCACTTCAATGCAATTCTTAGACGGAACGCGAAAGAAACAAAATTTTTTGGGGACAAAAATATAAATTCATGAGACCCAAAAAAACAAAAAAAATCCTCTCTCAGTGCTCTCAGTCCACTGAGATTCTTTTGGTCTACATTCATCTACTGATTCTTATATTCATCTTAATTTAATGATCCCTTCTCCTTGTTCTACTCCTCACCAGCCCGCCCAATAATCTAACTCTTTCACCTTTTCCAACTCAATTTTTAATCTCCAAAAAATTGGCAAAATTTTCTAATTTGTTGAAATCCAAGGTGCAAGCGGTGTCTTGCCCGTCAATATAGGCCTAAATTCTAAGATAATGCATTTTAAATTTTAGCAGTGTTTAGAATAGTGATTTCTGGACGAGTTTCTTGATGTCCAATTAGCTGAAATGAAAAGTTGCTGACACTAAGGTTCAAGGATACTGAGGATTTCAAATAACAATCACAAAACCAATCTAACTGTGTTAGAATTTTCAAACCTAGGTTATCCATGAAATTGGTTAAATCAAAAAAAATTAGTCGAGGAATTCTAGAAGTCAGATGCAGTTAAGAAAAATTGATTTTTTTTCATATCACACCCCATTGTCATCAATTTTTACATTGACCGCAAATGTCTCTTGTTCTTCAACATTATCACCATCGTTGTTGTGTTTGGCTGAGAATAATACTTTTAGCTGGCCTTTTTTTTTGGACATAGGGGTTTAAATATGGGGTGATTAAAGGATTGTCTATGGTCTGACCATGATTTTGTGGGTTTCGAGAAAATTTGGACTTTTTGCTGTAAATTGAAAGTGGAAATGGGATTGTTTGACGAACAAAAAGCAAATCATTGTTAGTATATAGGTTAGAAGGTTTTAGATACTTGCATAGTTTGATATTTTAATTCAAATTGGCAAGCTAAAAATGGGATTGTTTAACGAACAAATCATTGTTGGTATATAGGCTAGCAGGTATTAGATACTTGCAAACTTTGATATTTAAATTCAAACTGAGATAAATGTGACATACATTTAAACTCGTAAATACATACATTAACAGTTAACAGTGTAAAAAAGATTAATACTTAATGATATTATCAAAGCAAAAAAGTCCACCTTCATATAAGTTGGTATTTCACATTGCTTCATAAACTAATTTTGTCAAAACATTCCCTCGAAAAAAAAAGGAAAGTTTTGTCAAAATATTACACTTTGCCCCCTATACACTTTTTTGCTTTTCTTTTTCCCAGCTAATGGAGAGTCTGTTATTACTACGATGGTAGAATGTTCCCAATTGATACCGTCCCCAATTTGTGCTTCTCACGAATTTTGACCCTAAGTTGGGCTGCCAGAGCCAGCGGACGCGACTTGCACATAGATAAATTGTTCAGTCAAAAATCGTTTTCCCTTCTGATTTTTTTTTCTTGGCAGTTCCTCCAATTATTTAACATTTTATCTTTTTTTTTTAATTTCTCCTCCCTCTTCACTTCCATTTTTAACTTTTCTTTCAACCCGATATTGCTCAGGTTACTTACTAGGCCCTACTAACATTTTACGTTCAAAATCATCAAGATATGTCATAAAAGTATGAGAGCCCCACCATGGCTAGATCCATAGCTTTTTAGAGGCAAGATGACTTAATTGAGCAATATATGGATATGGTAATAAGGGAACATATGAATTTATTGTACAATTGATCCTCACCTTTTATCCCCTTATGTTGTTCTGATAGTAACTGAAATTTCATATAGTAGCAAAGTCAAAATTCAAAGAAAGTGGGAGCAAGACTATGCATTGTAAGTATAATGTGTTGCATACTATCCAAGCATAATATGGAAGCATTAAGATGTTCAAGCAGAATTGAACCAATTGACTGCCTTCAAGAACATCTAATTCTTAGAAAGAAAGACTACAGGAATATGTTTGAATCATCCCATTATTTTTATTTTCAAATGAAAAGCCAAAGGTGTCTTCTTCATTAGCTCACCCCATTCACAACTTCAGCTTGGAGATTCAGACCTTTTTTTGCTGCAAATCAAGAATTCATGCATTAGTATGAGAAGCCATCTTTTTCCATGCTTGTAAGCACAACACATAGCTTTTGCCTTTCTGTTTTTTTTTTGGTTTGGACTGGAATAGATTTTAACTGGCAGAACGAGTTAGCTTGCAAGCCTAGGTCAAGAATAAAATTCTTTACCTAATATAGTAAAAATGGACTTCAACTTGCGGGCTGTGTTAAATTCTTGTGTATACCTGTAGATATTAAGCTTCAAGATTTTCTTGATGCACCCTGACACCAAGGAAAACATCTTTAATGAGATGTAACTTTCTGACAACTTCATTCATATGCATCCTACCATTTGGTAATCTTGCAGAGCACTTAAGTCCAATTTTCAGCAGGGAAATAATGCACTCCATCTCTTTTCCACCATTGCTATTTTTCCCTCCAGGAGTCATATTTCTGTTTTCATCTCCCTCAAGAAAAAGCAACGGGTCCACGATCTCAGGAACTCGTTCATGCAAAGCCCCATCAACATAGTTATGCAGATCAAGATCACCCACGAATATATCATCTGTTGGTCTCCTCCCTGTAATCATCTCTAGCAAAAGAATGCCGTAGCTGTAGACATCCCCCTGAGTTGATGGCGCAAGACCCATTCCATACTCTGAGATTTTGTTTCTAGACATATTATTATTGGGTAGTAAAAGAAAAACTATAAAAAAAAACTAAGTGATTAAAATTAATCAAATGTTAGATTGGGGCATAATGGACCTTCTTTTAGAACGAAATGACTTAATTAAAATTAGCTACTATGCATCGGTGATTAGAGATCTCATAGTAATTATAATAAAAAATTAAAAAGAATTAAATAACATCTTGACCATAATAAGTTGTAATTTGTAATTACCTGGAGCTGCATAACCGATTGATCCTTTTATGGCAATAGTACTACTGGTTCTTTGCTCGGAAGAAGTGTTGATGTGTTTCGGGAGAAGCCTTGCCAATCCAAAATCACCCACATGAGCAACAAGATCATTGTCAAGAAGAATGTTACTTGGTTTTAGATCACAGTGAACAATCTCAGCTTCGCAGTGGTCGTGAAGATATTGCAATGCTGAAGCCACATCAATTCCAATATTTAGCTTCTGAAGAAGATTAAGACTTCTTGAGCTTGTTGCCTGATCAGTTGTCTCTGAAGGATGCAGCCACAGGTCCAGATTTCCATTTTCCATGAACTCATAGATTAGAGCTTTGAATTCATCACCCTTGGAATCAATACTGGAGCAATAACTCACGATAGAAACGAGGTTTCTATGGCGAATATTTCTCAATGCTTTGCACTCGGCCTTAAAACTTTTCGAAGCTCCGTTCTTTTGAAGATCAAGAACTTTCACTGCAACAAGCTTGTTGCCATGTTTTTCTAGCCTTCCTTTGTAGACAGCTCCAAAATTTCCTGAACCAATTAAGTTTTCTAGAGAAAATCCTGAAGTTGCACGATGAAGTTCATGGTAAGAAATTCGCAAGAGCTCATCGATTCTTGGGGGCATGCTAGAGAATCCGGCCACCATTCTTCTTTCTCTTTTTCGATGTACCAAGGAATATAACAACAATGCACCAAGAACTAGAAGCGTTGCCGGTAAAACAATGGACAACAATATGATAACCTTCAGCTTTCCTCTGTTTTTCCCCTTAATCACTGGGCAAGGTGGGAACTCCAATTCTGCAATGCCTCCACAGAGTTTTTTGTTGCCAGTCAATGATATTTGACTTGCATTACCGAAAATTCCAGTGTTTGGTATCTCGCCCTCGATGTCGTTGTAGGAAAGATTTAAGTGGCTCAAAGAGTGAAGCTTCTCAAGTTCTCTGGGTATTGGACCAGTCAAGTTATTACTTGAAAGGTCTAATTGCTGGATGCTCTTCCAAGAAGCCAAATTTGGTGGAATTGTTCCTTGGAAAAAATTGGCTTCCATATAAAGATTCTCCAGATCTGAACAATCAGCAAGTGAGATGGGTATATCGCCAGAAAATTGGTTGTGGGAAACCGAGAAATTCACCAAATGTACAAGCTTTCCAACTTCAGGAGGCAGAGAACCAGTGAAAGAATTTTCACTTAATACCATAGCAATCAGTGATGAGTGCGTCTGCAGAAAATGAGGTGATATAATTCCAGTGAAGTTGTTTTGAGATATATCCAGATATTGCAAATTTTGACAGCTCATAAGAACATTGTCAAATATATTGCCCCCTTCAAACTGGTTAAATGATAAGTCCAGAAAGAATAGATTGGTGTTGTTGCATAGGGTAGAGACTATCTGTCCTGACAAGTCATTTTGGTTCAGACGCAATCCTTGCAAATTTGGTAACTTGCCAAAATCTCTTGGAATAATCCCTGAAAAAGAGTTCAATTCAAGGTCAAGTTTATATAGGTTGACAAAGTTTCCAAATCCTTCTGGAATAGGTCCTGACAGTTGATTTCCCCCCAGGTACAGTTCAGTGAGTTGTTTTGAGAGATTGGCCATGAGTTTGGGTATATTACCTCCGAAGTTATTGTAACCCAAGGCAAGAATTCTGAGATCACTGCAGTTGGTCAATGATGCAATAAAATCTAAATCTCCAGTTGAATTACCGCCGAAGAGGTTTGTGTCAAGATTTAATAATTGAAGATTTGTCAGATCTCCTAAATTAGCTGGAACTTGGCCTGCGAACTTATTATAGGGAAGATCAAGTATCTCAAGCCCAGAAGCATTAGTGATTGAAGATGGAAAGTTTCCATAGAAGTTGTTTCCCCCAACAGCTAATGCTTCCAGATTTGGTAGGGTGAGACCTATGTTGGTTGGGAGACTGCCATGAAAGGAATTGCCGCCCACTGAAATGACAGTAATGGCTGAACTATTAAAGATGGAGGCAGGGATTATACCAGATAGTTTATTTGCTGGTGCTGAAAAAAAGGATAACCTTTTTAAGAGCCCCATTTCCATGGGCAAATTTCCCTCCAGATTGTTAAGGGCAAGACTGAGTGAAGTCAGCGATGATAAGTTCCCAATGGAAGAGGGAATCTCTCCCGTCAAATTGTTTATGCTAAAAAATATTCCTTTAAGCTTCTTCAGATTGCTCAGCTGATCAATCGGAATTTTCCCTTCAAGCTTGTTCTCGATTAGGCTAATAGTTACCAACTCTGAGCAGTAGCTCAGGTTTGCTGGGATTTTTCCACCGATCGCGTTACTTGAGAGGTTCAGGACTCTCAGCCTGAAGAGGCGACCGAATTCTTGGGGAATCTCACCATGGAATTGATTCTCCCCAAGTTGGATGAACCTCATGAAGCTTAGATTTCCGACATGAGGAGATATGGTTCCAGACAACTGCTTATGCCGTAGAGTCAAGGCTATCACCCTCTGATGTCGAGTACCACATGTGACTCCTTCCCACTGACAATGGTGTTGTGAAAGGTTCCAGGAGTTCAGCACTCCCAGCGGGTCATTGTATATCTGCTTCTTGAATTCAAGCAGAGCAAGACGATCAGTTTCATTTTTAAATTGTTTAGAAGCTGAAAAGCTCATGGCAACTGAGAGTAGGAGAAAAATGCTCGCTAATGTTGATGATGAGCGAAGTCCCCACATGGTATTTGGAATTTGGATGAGCTGTGAAGGCAAAGATGGATTAATTTGCAACAAATTGATGATTGAATGATAAAAGTTTCTGCGGAATGAAAAGTATATAGCCCACACATAGAGAACAAAGAGAAATGTTCGGTAAGCTTCCACCAACTTCCACACTAATACTTTTCAAACCGTGAAAGCTGGGATTAACATTTAACCTGACTACTTTTCGTACTAGAATCATAGAAAAACGTGATTAATTGAGAATTCCCGGAGACCACACTTTGTACTTGCACTTGGTGTGCAACTTGATTTCTGGTCAACGTTCCTCATTTGATTGCTAGATGCTAGATCAGGACCATGGTTTTCAAGCAATATGGTCTGTTGGGAAAATGAGAGAAATATTGTTTCTTTTTTTTTGAATAATTATTCTTGACTAACATCTGAAATTGTCGATCATATAATAAAGGGTTAATCACAAAAACTCCCGTTAAGATTTAACCAATTCTGCATTTTATCCTCTAACATTATTTTTTTTTTCTCATTTTACCCCCTAAACCATTAGTCAACTTTAATATTGCCCAGATGTCAAAAAGATATTGATACCCTTAAGAGTTAATCATAGTAAATCCCCTTAACTTTTAGTTACTTTGCCCTTCACCCTCTAATATCATCTTTCTCTTAATTTGTCTACTTGTCCCTAAAATGATTAGTCAATTCTAATATTTTGTATCACTCAAAACAAATAATGTCTTAAAAAAATTAATATCCTTAATATAATAATAAAAATTATTATATATTTATGGATATAGATCTTGTTAAATTTTATCGCCGTAATTACATATATTTTAGAAAAAGAAAAATATCTCGCTCATCTCACATGATAAGGCAAAACATATTAGTACAAAACTAAATTGTAAAAACTTATTAAAGATCTATAGATGGGTTTGCTTGGATGGGAGATTATTTGAAAAAATTTTTAGAATAAAAACATTTTTGCAATTTGACATTTGTGAGATAAAAAGGTGGTTAAAAATAAAAGTGATTGAAAAAAGGTGTTCAAATGCAAAAAAAAAAAAAAAAAAATTTAGAAAAATTTAGCAATCCAAATAAATTTTAGGGTAAATTACTTATTACCCTCTTGTTATTTTACACAATACCAGGTGACCCCCCTAAGGTTTCAAAATAGCCACATAACTTTCCCATGATTTTATGTAAATTAAAAAATGAATAGAATATACAATCAGTTACGGCATTTATACCAAACGCGCTCTAAAAGTGCGTGTGATAAAATCTAGAAGTACCCATCACAATGATCTTAATGTGGTAATCCTCGCTAGTATGATCCTAGAATATTCATTCAAGCTCCTGAGATATTGAATATTTTCTGGGCACTTTGTGTCTTGTATTATTTAATATGTCATAGTTATCAGTGGATGTTTATAAAGCTTTTGGGATAAAACTTTGCCAGAACTTTCATATTAATCTATCATTCCAATTTTGTTCCTAGCATGAGTGGTGAGATTTTGATTCTTCTAGTTAGTTTTCTTGGATTGTTTTCACGCATGATTTTCAATAATTTGCAGAAATTCTACAACTGCACATCAATTCCTTTACAGGCTCTCCCCTTGCATCAGTGGCTAATGCGTGACAGGTTGTCAGCCTGTGCATTAATAAAAATCTGCTCAACTAAAGTAATTTCTGTAGATAGCGGTTGTCAGCCTTTTTATTATTTCATTTTACTTTATTTTGTTGTTCCTTGCGTGCCCTGAGCATTATTTCAACAAGGCACTGGATTTTGTTGGAGTAAATTACACTCTAACAAACACTTTGGGATGACATTATATTATTGTCCGTTTTGCTTTGTTTTGGTCTTTCGCCTCTCTTTCTACTACAGTTAAGAATCTCAGTGTGTATGGGAGAAGTGACAAAGAAATTTCTCTATCGACGATTTTTGAGCATACAGAAAATATTCAATTAGAGTGACCCTCTTAGATTTTTCTCAAAGTTTTTCTAACCCCTCATTTACTTCGTCAATATTAACCAATCTGAATGCTCTCACAATTTCTATATTCGTGGCCCACAATTTATTCTTTCATGTCTATGACAGTGAGTCTGCTAAATGACTTGTCCACTTCCCTCAACTACTTGTTAGGAAGGACCAAACAGTTGCTTGCATTTTAGTACACTGCATGTCTACTCCGCAAGGACCAGAAGACTCTAGTCTCTTGGTATAAACACTAGGGAGATGGACAAACATAGAAAAGGTTTCAGATCATAAATTACAATTCTCAAAAAAAAAAAAATCATAAATTGCAGTAACCACTTTTCTTGAAGCTATACTTGTTCACTATTAATATCTATTGCAAATGATAAATATCTCTCGGGATAAGACAAAGTTTGTTTATCTATAATATACACTAATATAACAGGCCGATTAGAACAATAGAGCGTAGTTTTAAACTATTCTAAAATGTGAAGAATGATTTTCTACAGTAAATCAATCCTTTACATGATCTTGCACAGCTACAATTGTTATGATTCAAGAATTGTATCTTATAGTCAATGATCAAATAAATTTTCAAAGTTTTGATTCATGTGAATCGGTGTTTACATAAGAAGTGCAAGTGATCAGAAACATTTTGTCTAAAGTTGAGGCATCATTTGGTGGTAAAATTTTAATGAATTTTAACCGTTAACAAGGATCTGACCGTAAGTCCAAACTCCAAAGTCGGATCAAATCAAAAGAAACTTCTCAGTTCTCAAAAGTGAGTTCGGTCCTTGGAAAAATTTCCTTACTTCTCAGAACAGGATCCGACCCCGAGATCTGATTTGAATTAAATGCCAGATCTTTGAGTAGATCTAATTTTCTTGCTATCTCATTCATAGGCACCCGAATTGGGCTAAAAAGAGATGGTTTGCTGTGAGTTTACAGAGGAACTCTGTTTCTTTGTCTTCCATGGATAATCTATGGAGAGATTAACCGGTATTGATGCATACATACAGCTTCGGTAAACGTCTAGGTTTCCGTCCAAAAAGGACCGCCGCAGCGGAGTTGAGATCGGTTAATATATGGTTGAAGAAATATGAGAGGGAAAGTTGGATGCTGGGATTATTATACAAGCAAGATGAGTTGAGCTGGGGATGCAGGAAAGCAAGAACGAAGGGGAGCAAGAAGGGTTAATTTCATTTTGCACCCTTTAAACTTCAATTTTAGAAATGAAACACTCTACTCCCTAAATTATAAATTTCGTCCCACTTCAATGCAATTCTTAGACGGAACGCGAAAGAAAACTGATACTACTAGAATAATAATTATCACATTCCGTTAACTTATGAGTGTAACTGAAATGAAACAAAATTTTTTGGGGACAAAAATGTAAATTCATGAGACCCAAAAAAACAAAAAAATCCTCTCAATCCAATGACGATTCTTTTGTTGTACCTTCGTCTACTCATTCTTGTTCGTCTTAATTTAATGATCCCTTCCCCTTGTTCTACTCCTCACCAGCCTATCCAATAATCTAACTCTCTCACCTTTCCAGCTCAATTTTTAATCTCCAAAAAATTGGCAAAAATTTCTAATTCGTTGAAATCCAAGCCGCAAGCGGGTCTTGCCCATCAATATAGGCCTAAACTCTAAGATAAGGCATTTTAAATTTTAGGGCAAATTACATTTTATCCTCCTGTAGTTTAGCCTTTTTTTACATAACCCCCTTATGGTTTCAAAATTATACATAATCTACTCATGGTTTGAATTAAGGGTTAATCACATTTTATCCCCTTAAAGAATACACTATTTTTCAGTTTACCCCCTAACCTTTAATTTTGCTCATTTAATCCCCTTTAGGACAAAATTGCCCTTGCATTATTTTGACTTTTCATTTACCTTGTTTTCCTTTCTTTTTTATTTAATTCTTCCTCTTTCCCACAAAAATCTTCACCTTAATGATTGAAATTAAAAAAGAGGAATTGCAGAGATCTATCTTCACCTTAAATGATTAAAAAAATATTCAAATCACTTTCCTAAAATACAATTTTTTTAGCCTTTCAATTCTTTTAATTTTGGATTTTCCTCTTTCCTTTCTAGTTTCTCATTATATTCCCAAGAAAATATCTTAAGATGAAATTGTGACTTATGTTCCAAGAATGCCCTGGTTGAATTAGCTGTGCAGCCTAACGTGTTGCTCCATTGATGGTATGATAGAGTGGTGATAAGATTGTGGGACCCATACACATGATATATTTTCAAGCTCTTTTGAAGAAAGTGCACTGCACCAATCCCGTTGGTTCTAACGTGACACTCACACACCATCACATGAAAATTCTCTATTTCATAGGTGAACTTTGGGGCCCACTAGAATATAAGAATCTTGTTGTAAGATTTAAGGGTATCAGTGGAAATCGGTGAAAGTTTTTATTGCCATTATTGGTAAGCAACACTAATTTTGGGACAGATTAAAAAGAAAAATATGACACTTCTAATAGGACGGAGGGAGTATTTAAATTCAAATTGAGATAAATGTGACATACATCTAAACTTGTAAATACATACATTAACAGTTAACAATGTAAAAAAGATTAATACTTACTGATATTATCAAAGCAACAAAGTCCACCTTCATGTAAGTTAGTATTTCACATTGCTTCATAAACTAATTTTGTCAAAACATTCCCTAAAAAAAAAAGAGGAAAGTTTTGTCAAAACATTGCAGTTTGCCCCCTATACACTTTTTTGATTTCCTTTTCTCCCTGCTAATGGAGTCTTTTTTTACCACGATGGTAGAATGTTCCCATTTCCCAATTGATACCTTACCCAATTTGTGCTTCTCGCGAATTTTGACCCTAAGTTGGGCTGCCAGAGCCAGAGGACGCGACTTGCACATAAATAAATTGTTCACTCAAAAATCCTTTTCCCTTCTGATTTTTTTTTCTTGGCAGTTCCTCCAATTATTTAACATTTTATCATTTTTTTTCGTTTCTCCTTCCTCTTCACTTCCTTCTTGAACTTTTCTTTCAACCCGATATTGCCTAGGTTACTTACTAGGCCCTATTATTGTACAATTGATCCTCACCTTTTATCCCCTTATGTTGTTCTCATTGTAACTGAAATTTCATATAGTAGCAAAATCAAAATTCAAAGAAAGTGGGAGCAAGACTATGCATTGTAAGTATAATGCATTGCATACTATCCAAGCATAATATGGAAGCATTAAGATGTTCAAGCAGAATTGAGCCGATTGACTGCCTCCAAGAACATCTAATTCTTATAAAGAAAGACTACAGGAATATGTCTGAATCATCCATTTATTTTATTTTTTCAACTAAAAAGCCAAAGGTGTCTTCTTCATTAGCTCACCCCATTAACAACTTCAGCTTGGAGATTCAGACTAGTAAGCAGCTGCAAATCAAGAATTCATGCATTAGTATGAGAAGCCATCTTTTTCCATGCTTGTAAGCACAACACATAGCCTTTCCTTTTTTCTTTTTTTGGACTGGAATAGATTTTGATTGGTAGAACGAGTTGGCTTGCAAGCTTATGTCAAGAATAAAATTCTTTACCTAATATAGAGAAAATGGACTTCAACTTGTGGGCTGTATTAAATTCTTGAGTATACCTGTAGATATTAAGCTTCAAAATTTTCTTGATGTACCCTGAAACCTAGGAAAACATCCTTAATGAGATGTAATTTTCTGACAACTTCATTCATATGCATCCTGTCGTTTGGTAATCTTGCAGAGCACTTGAGTCCAATTTTCAGCAGCGAAATAATGCAATCAATCTCTCTTCCACCATTAATAGTTTCCTCTCCATGAGTAATTCTACTGTTTTCATCTCTTCCTTCAGAAAGAAGCAATGGATCCACGATCTCAGGAACTCGTTCATGCAAAGCCCTATTAACATAGTTATGTAGATCAAGGTCACCCATGAATATATCATCTGTTGGCCTCCTTCTTGTAATCATCTCTAGCAAAAGAATGCCGTAGCCAATGATGGAGCCAAGGGGGGGCTGAGGGGGGCCATGGCCCCCCCTAAGTTTTGAAAATTTTAATTCATAGTATGTAAATATATGTATAAGACAAAGTTGGCCCCCCCTAATTTTTTTCAATTTTAGTTTATATTATGAGAGTTTATATATATATGTGTGTATGTGTGTATGAATTAGCCACCTTTGATATAATTTTTTCTTCAAAAAAAGTTAATTATTTTTTATTGTGCTAATTTTTAACATTCAAAAAATTAAACATATAATTTCATGATCCATAGTAAATTGACCCAATTTGATATATTATAATAAAAGACTCAATTCATAATTATGAATGGGCTAAAATAAAAATAATTACTTTATTGGTCCATATACAAATATACAACTTAGCCTAATTGATAAAAAAAATTAAAATTAGTGATCTATCCTCTTGTTGACCCATATACAAATATACAAATAATTACTTGAAGGCTTGGTGAAGACAAGAAATTGAGTGATCTATCATGTTGTTGATAGATTGATTATATTTGTTTTCACTCTTCATGTATCAACTACAACTATAGAACAGACATTTTCAATTATAAATATAATCAAAACAAAACTGCAAAACAAGATGAAAGATAATTTCTTGAATGATTGTCTAACAATATACATAAAAAAGGGAAGTTGTTCAAAAATTTAGTAATGATTCAATTATAGATGAATTTAGTTATATGAAATAATGTAAAGCTCAATTTACTTTTAAGAAAAGTGGTTGAAATTTCAAGGTGTGCGAACATAACTTTTATCTTTTTTTTAATTGAAAATAGTTATATTTATATTGCATAGTTATATTTTTGTTTTTGCACAAGTGACGTATTGGATCATCTTCTCATAATGTACAATTTGGATAGTTTGTAATGTTATAAGATATTTAATCAAAGGTTATTTCTTGTTCTAATTTTTGTTATGACTATGCTGCATATTTATGAAATAAACATACCTTTATAATTAAATTTAATATTTGATATTTTAAGATGTCATATATTTAAATCGATGAAAATTATTTTGAATATAACATATTAAGATAATTTTGTTTAAAAAAATTTTGGCCCTCCTCCCAAAGAAAATATCCTGGCTTCGTTCGATAGTCTATAGAATAGACATTTTCAATTATGAAGATAATCAAAACGAAACTCCAAAACAAGATAAAAGATAATTTCTTGAATGATTGTCTAACAATGTACATAAAAAAAGGAAGTTGCTCGAAAATTTACCATTGATTCAATTATAGATGAATTTAGTTCTATGAAAGAACGTAAAGCTCAATTTACGTTTAATAAAAGAGGATGAAATTTCAAAACATGTTAACATAATTTTTATCTTTTTTTAATTGAAAATAGTTATATTTATATTGCATAGTTATATTTTTGTTTTTGCACAAGTGACATATTGGAACATCTTCTCATAATGTGCAACTTAGGTGATTTGTGATGTTATAAGATATTTAATCAAAGGTTATTTCTTGTCTTAATTTTAGTTATGACTATGCTACATATTTATGAAATAGACATATCTTTATAATTAAAGTTAATATTTGATATTTTAAGATGCCGTATATTTAAATAGATGAAAATTATTTTGAACATAACATATTAAAATAATTTTGTTCGAAAAAATTTTGGCCCCCCCAAAGAAAAAATCCTGGCTCCGTCACTGGCCGTAGCTATAGACATCCCCCTGAGTTGATGCCGCAAGACCCATTCCATACTCTAAGATTTTGTTTCTAGACATGTTATTATTGGGTAGTAAAGAAAAACTATAAAAAAAAAAACTAAGTGATTAAAATTAATCAAATGTTAGATTGGAGCATAATGGACTTTCTTTTATAACAAAGAGACTTAACTAAAATTAGCTACCATGCAACAGTGATTAGAGATCTCATACTAATTATTATAAAAAAATTAAAAAGAATTAAATGTCCCAAAAGTTCTATATTTCTGCGCACAATTAAGTAAAATCTTGACCATAAAAATATGTGTTACCTGGGGCTGCGTAGCCGATTGTTGCTTTTATAGCAATAGTACTGCTGCCTTCTTGCTCGGAAGATCTGTTGACGGGTTTCGGGAGAAGCCTTGCCAATCCAAAATCACCCACACGAGCAACAAGATCATTGTCAAGAAGAATGTTACTTGGTTTTAGATCACAGTGAACAATCTCAGCTTCGCAGTGGTCGTGAAGATATTGCAATGCTGAAGCCACATCAATTGCAATATTTAGCTTCTGAAGAAGATTAAGACTTCTTGAGCTTGTTGCCTGGTCAGTTGTCTCTGAAGGATGCAGCCACAGGTCCAGATTTCCATTTTCCATCAACTCATAGACTAGAGCTTTGAATTCATCATCCTTGGAATCAATACTGGAGCAATAACTCACAATCGAGAGGAGGTTTCTATGGCGAATATTTCTTAATGCTTGGCACTCGGCCTTAAAACTTTTGGAAGCCCCATTCTTTCGAAGATCAAGAACTTTGACTGCTACAAGCTTATTGCCATGTTTTTCTAGTGTGCCTTTGTAGACAGCTCCAAAATGTCCTGAACCAATTAAGTTTTCTGGAGAAAATCCTGAAGTTGCACGATGAAGTTCATGGTAAGAAAGCCGTAAGAGCTCATCGATTCTTGCGGGCATGCTAGAGAATCCTGCCACCATTCTTCTTTCTCTTTTTCGATATACCAAGAGATATAACAACACTGCACCAAGAACCAGAAGCGTTGCCGGTAACACAATGGACAACAATATGATAACCTTCAGCTTTCCTCTGTTTTTCCCCTTAATCACTGGGCAAGGTGGGAACTCCAATTCTGGAATGCCTCCACAGAGTTTTTTGTTGCCAGTCAATGATATTTGACTTGCATTACCGAAAATTCCAGTGTTTGGTATCTCGCCCTCGATGTCGTTGTAGGAAAGATTTAAGTGGCTCAAAGAGTGAAGCTTCTCAAGTTCTTTTGGTATTGGACCGGTCAAGTTATTACTTGAAAGGTCTAATTGCTGGATGCTCTTCCAAGAAGCCAAATTTGGTGGAATTGTTCCTTGGAAAAAATTGGCTTCCATAAAAAGATTCTCCAGATCTGAACAATCAGCAAGTGAGATGGGTATATCGCCAGCAAATTGGTTGTGGGAAACCGAGAAATTCACCAAATGTACAAGCTTTCCAACTTCAGGAGGCAGAGAACCAGTGAAAGAATTTTCATCTATTTTGATGTACATCAGTGATGAGTGCATCTGCAGAAAATGTGGTGATATAATTCCAGTGAAGTTGTTGTGAGATATATCCAGATATTGCAAATTTTGACAGTTCATAAGAACATTGTCAAATATATTGCCCCCTTCAAACTGGTTAAATGATAAGTCCAGATAGAATAGATTGGTGTTGTTGCATAGGGTAGAGACTAACTGTCCTGACAAGTCATTATAGTCTAGATGCAATCCTTGCAAATTTGGTAACTTGCCAAAATCTCTTGGAATAATCCCTGAAAAAGAGTTCAATTCAAGGCCAAGTTGAATTAGGTTGACAAAGTTTCCAAATCCTTGTGGAATGGCTCCTGAGAGTTGGTTTCCTCCCACGAACAATTCAGTGAGTTGATTTGAGAGATTGGCCATGATTTTCTGCAGCTCCTAACCCAGCAAACCTTTTTAAGAGCCCCATCTCCATGGGCAGATTTCCCTCCAGATTGTTGAAATCGAAAGCGAGTTGAGTCAGCGATGATAAGTTACCAATGGAGGAGGGAATCTCTCCTGTCAAATTGTTTACAAAAAGAACAAGTCTTTCAAGCTTCTTCAGACTGCTTAGCTGATCAATCGGAATTTTCCCTTCTAGCTTGTTCCTCTGTAGGCAAATATTTATCAACTCTGAGCAGTAGCTCAGGTTTGCCGGGATTTTTCCTCCGAGTGCGTTATTTGACAGGTTCAAGACTCTTAGCCTGAAGAGGCGACCAAATTCTTGGGGAATCTCACCATGGAATTGATTCTCCTCAAGATGGATGAGCCTCATGAAGCTTATATTTCCGACATGAGGAGATATAATTCCGGAAAAGTGCTTATGCCTTAGAGTCAAGGCTATAACCCTCTGATGTCGAGTACTACATGTGATTCCTTCCCACTGGCAATGGTGCTGTGAATGGTTCCAGGAGTTCAGCACTCCAAGCGGGTCATCGTATATCTGCTTCTTGAATTCAAGCAGAGCAAGACGATCAGTTTCATTTTTAAATTGTTTAGAAGCTGAAACATGGCTTACTGAAAAGATTATGGCAACTAAGAGAAGGAGAAATATGTTCGCCAATGTTGATGATGAGCGAAATCCCCACATGGTATTGGGAACTTCCATGAGCTGTTGGATGCGAAGATGGAATAATTTGCAACAAATTGATGATTGAATGATAAAAGTTTCTGCGGAATGGGAACAATAATGTTTGAGCTGTTATAGGATTTTGTGTATAGCCCACACAATTGGAACTAATTTTCTTGGTATATTTCTGCGGAAAATGAGCTAAACCTCGTTGTCAGAACTTAATAGAGAAATGGTCAGTAAGCTTCCACCAACTTGCAATTTACCCATATCGACCAGAGATGATGATTAACAGGAAGCCTTCATTTGTGTGGAGTACACAAATCACAAGAATCTTGATATTCTTAGGTGATGTTCCCAATTTTTCCTTTTTTATGTTGTTTTAATGCCATTTTCTCAAAAAAAATTTTATTTTTTTAAAAAGAAGGGTTTGTTTTTTATGTTATAATTTTTAGTTTTTTCTTTTTTTTATGTTGACTTAATGTCATATGTGCATATCAGGTGTCTGCTAGATTTAGAAAAAAATTAAAGTAATGTTCCAATGTTATCGCTAAAATCTATATCAGATTGTCATCCTGAAGCTAATTTGCTTCATTTTAGAATGTGTGATAGACAAGAAAGAGTTTTTTTTTTTTTTTTTCCAAAACATGAGAGATGAAACAATTTAGTGGTCCAAAGATTTTTAATGAAACGGAAAAATAGTTGGTGAAGACTATCATTTATGGTCCGCAGCTGGGAAAATGGTCTATCAATTTGGAAAATGACCTATACACCAATTAGAAAAAATGGTTTTACGAATGATGACAAACATGAATTTGGAAAATCAGATCACAAATGTATCGCGTTTCTGTCGAGTCTGCTCAAGGATGACAGTTTGCTCTGTTTGCTTTTTTTTTTTTTTTCAAGAAATCCGCCTTGAGATGGTGGAGATTTTGCATGTAATCCTTCCAGTTTGCTGAGAAATAAGTGAAAATAAAATGATTCAGCAAACATAAAAGCCTAATTTTCCAAATTACATTTCAATCTTCTTGGTGACCAGGGGCCTTGGCTTAGCAACGAGACCAAGTCCCGATCACTTGTTCACGCTGCTATTTCTTCTACCTGTGCATTTACTTATCTATTTATGTTTTCTTGTTGTACATTTTTTCTTATTTTGTCCTTTTAATTGAACAATAAAGTCCATGAAGCCAGTTAAAACTTAGAATTAAAAACAAAGTTCTTTTCATTTTCATTTTTTTTGTTCATCAATAAATAGAGGGTCAGTTTGTAGTCAAAATCCTACTGTTTTAAATCTTGAAACATGCATTAATTATCCACTAAATCATAAGCTCATTCTCATTTAGCAAACAACTCCGCATTCTGCAGTAAACTCAAAGCAGAAAATTTTCCAAGTAATGTATCACTGCTAGACAGTTTTTTTTTTCAGAATTTTGATGTATTTTTTAAAAAGGTTTATGACCCTTTTCCCCGATGATGATGATGATAATAATAATGGTAATAACCCCAGTGCAGTGAAGCCAAACATAAGCCCCATTTGGTAGGTGAGTTTTTTGGAAATTTGTCTAAACTTTACTGTAATATACTGTAGAATTTATAGAAAAAATTTTTGAAGTGTGTAAAAATTTCTTTAAGAAAAGAAAAACTTTCATCTTTTTTCTCCTTTCTTTCCTTTCCGCTTCTTCTCCCCCACGCCACCGCAATCTTCTTCTCCCTCCCACCTCACTAACCGCCCGTCCTTGCCAGCTACCAGCAGTAGAAACTTTTTTTTCTCTCTCTCTCCATCCTACCTCTCCTTTTTTTTCTTTTCCCCTTTCTTTCCTTTCCTCTTCTTCTCCCCCACCCCATTGCAATCTTCATCTCCCTCCCTCCTCACTAACTGCTCGCCGATTGCCGGCAGAGGCAGAAACTTTATTTTTTTCTATCTCTACTTCCTTCCTCTCCCCTCCTTCTCTTCTCCTACTTCCCCTCTATCTCCTCCGCCCTCTCCTCCCCTCTGCCTCCGCCATCTCCTTCCCCCTCCCTTCCCCGATCATGACTAGATATGGCAACTGCTTATTCCTCAGAGTCAAGGCCGTTGTTAATAAACCCGAATCGACTCAACGGTTGAACCGGTAGGCCCGGTGACCCGACCATTAGACCAACGGGGTCTCTAGTTTGATCGGATAAGAAATTGACCTGGTCAAATCCGATTGACCCGGTAGTTCAACCGGTTTCAATTGACCCGATTAACTTTTTTTTTTTTTTAATTATGGGTCTTTGTTTTTGAAACAAAATATATATATGCTTTTGATAAGGTTTGTATACTGGATCTTCATTTAAATTGATAGGCGGCAATTTATCTATTTATTTTATTATTATTTTCCCCTATTACCTGACTTGATGTGGATTAATTGCTGGATTCTACTCATTTTTCTTAATTTACGTATATTTCAGGGAGTAAAATGAAAATATGATAACCGGTGCCAAATTTACAGGAAAAGAATTCAGATGATAAAGCTTGTCCCAGGGGCACTTTTGGAAGAGAAGATGTCACGCCCATTTTGGTAATTTTCGCAAAGGGATGACGGACGGAGAGCTCTTCTTCCTGCTGTGAGCCGCCGCAATAAAGAGGATCAGATGGGGGGCTGGCTCTGATTCTTAGTTTTTTCTCGACTGTAGCTTAGCGGAAATGCTTGACTTTTCCCTTGGATTCTATTTTTAGCTCCAGATACTCACGGATGATAGGAAAAAGGATTGCTCAGCTTGAGATTGTTGACTTTTCCACTAGAAATGCTTTTTGCTTATCATCCGCATGGCAAGCATTAGAAATTGGTGGCTTTGACTTTTCTTCCCTAAATGCATTTAGTGGTTTCTCCTCCTTTGTGCGTGAGACGAAGTGAAACTATGAATTGTCTTTCGTAGCTTTTCCATTTATTCACGTTCGGACGAGTTGGATTCTCCAGAATTTTAACGGACAATGGCCGCTGTTCCCTTTTCAATTTCCCGTGAATTTAGTTCATCAATTATGAGCTAATTTTCCAATCCTAGTCAAGGAGCAACGAAGGCTCTGGCTCGCCTAAAAATTGTGAGATCGATTTAATTTAATCTTTCCCTTTTATTTATTGGTATTCGTGTATTCCCTGATTACTATGCTTATGGTTATTTAATTAGTTGATTGTCTTGGATCCGGATAATTAATTGATTTGGTAATCTATTATCAATTGGGGTATTAAATCCGTAATTGTTTAATTACCTCAAAATAGTGACAACTGGCACGGTTAGATTCGTGTCAGGGGAATACGCGGGCTAATCTAAAATAACCCTGGTAGTGTGTTATTTGGTTAGAATAGGGCTCCTCTAATACGTAAGGCAATTGGGGAATTAAATTCTACGGGCGTACCTAGGATTATTTCTCAATTAGAGCGGTGATTAACGGGCGTATCTTGATCACCGACACAGTAAGGAGGGGTTGACTACCATCGCTTGTTTGGTAATTATAACATATTTATTGGTAAATAATTGAGATTGCCTTGCATCAATGATCAATTAGGTGAACCATTGCTGAACTTACTTCTTGGCTAGATCTTTAATTAATATTATCTTGATTTTAGTGAAGTGCCATTTGATTTTTGGTTGTCTACTTTATTACATTTTTAATTGTTCCCTTGTTTCAATAGATTTAGGACTTTAATTATTGTTATTCTAAGTTCAGTGAATTGTGGTTTAATTTATAATTAGTTATTTATTTTTATTTTCTTATTTGAATTCATTTGATTGTTGGCATTCCTACAAAATCACCCCCTGTGTTGCTTTGGATTTCTTAAGAAACGAATATACCCAATCCCTGTGGATACGACCCTACTTACCCTGTCTACGCATTCATAATTATTTGTGAAAAGAAATAACCAATCCATTCGGGTATATCGGATCAAGCAAACTCTTCGGGAATAGGGTGAATCAAGTAACCCATTGCACACCTAGAGTCCCTGCTCCAGTACTTGGAATTGGGTTTGGTCATTTTAACAGGTAAATAGGTTTAATTTTATTATTGCACAGGCTGACGACCTGTCAATTTTTGGCGCCGTTGCCGGGGACTGGCGTTATTGTTTGTTTCTTTTTAAATTCAATTTTTGTCCTAATTTTCTGGCTTTCTTCTAGTGTATGCCTCGATTTTTTCGTACAGGTGATTTGATTTTTGATCCTGAGGTAGAGAAGACCGCGCGTAGAACGAGAAAGGAAACCAGACATCTCAGGGAGGAGCACTCCAGTGCTGCATCTCAGAGACCTGAGCCAGGAGCTGACCCAACAGATTTGTTTGGTAGCACTTCGAGTGACTCTGACCAGGAGGAAGGAACCATGACTAATGCACGAACATTGAGAAAGTTGGCTGCCCCTAATTTGAATCAGCAGCCTCTATGCATTACTTTCCCCGCCTTAAATGATAACATTCCATTTGAACTAAAATCTGGCCTGATTTAGCTTTTACCCTCTTTTCATGGTTTACCAGGTGAAGAGCCGTATAAGCATCTGCAGGAATTTGATGTCGTGTGCAACAGTATGAAACCCCCGGGTATCACAGAAGAGCAGATAAAAATGAGGGCATTCCCCTTTTCCTTGAAAGATTCTGCGAAGGACTGGCTGTACTACCTGTCACCAGGTAGCATCACCATGTGGGACCAATTAAAGAAAAAATTTTTGGATAAATATTTTCCTGCGTCCAGGGCTGCAAGTCTGAGAAAAGAAATTTGTGGGATCAAGCAGCATCCAGGGGAGTCACTTTATGAGTATTGGGAAAGGTATAAGAACTTGTTGCGCAGGTGCCCCCAGCACCAGATAAGTGAGCAGTTGCTCATTCAGTATGTTTATGAGGGGCTCCTTTTCAGAGACAGGAGCATCATTGATGCTGCAAGTGGTGGGGCACTGATGAACAAAATCCCTCAGGAAGCACGGGAGTTAATAGAGGAGATGGCAGAGAATTCACAACAATTCAGTACAAGAGAGGATGTCCCCATACGTAAGGTGAATGAGGTGGAGACACCCTCTATGCAGCAGCAGCTAAATGAGTTGACCGCGTTTGTTAGGCAACTGGCTGTGAGAAATGCATCACAAGCCAAGGTATGCGGGATTTGCACTGGTATATGTCACTCTGCAGACATGTGCCCAATGATTCAAGAAGAAACTGCAGAACAGGTGAACATGGCTGACCACGCGCCCGCACCAAGGAAGCAGTACGACCCTTACTCAAGCACCTACAACCCAGGGTGGAGAGATCATCCCAACCTCAGTTATGGAGGGAATAGGTAACCCAACTTTACATCGAACAGGCAGTCTAACTTTATGCCAAATAAGCCACCAGAGTACCAGCAGTAATACCAACCCCGACCACCGCCGCCCCCAAGCTCTGGTTCATCTATGGAGGAGATGATGAAACAAATAATGACAAACATGGCGCAAAATCAGCAAAGGACGGAGGCGACCATTATGCAGCATCAGCAAAGGACGGACTCCGAAATGCAGGATATAAGGAATCAGATAAGTCAAATGGCCACAACAATCAATCGTTTGGATTCCCAGAACCAAGGTAAATTGCCATCTCAACCCGAATTAAATCCGAAGAACGTGAGCGCAATGACCCTAAGGAGCGGGAAAGAAATTCAAGGGTCTGAACCTGTGATCCTTAAGGATAAGGATGAGGACAAGATCGAAAATGAGTTTGAAAGGGAGGACAGCAATGGTGCAGATCTAAAGGTACTTTCTGACCCAGTAATTTCAGCTAAAACTAACCCGCCTCCTTTTCCTAGTAGGTTGGAAAAATCGAAGAAACAGGATAAGGAGAAGGAGATCTTGGAGGTTTTTCGCAAGGTTGAGATAAATATCCCCCTCTTAGACGCCATCAAACAAGTGCCAAAATATGCCAAATTCCTAAAGGACTTGTGTGTCAACCGAAGGCGATTGAGGGGAGATGAAAGGATCATTGTTGGGGAGAATGTGTCAGCGGTCCTACAGAGAAAGCTTCCACCCAAGTGCGGGGACCCAAGTATGTTCACTATTCCCTGTAGGATAGGTAATACTGTGATCAGAAGGGCCATGTTGGATCTGGGAGTATCAATTAATGTCATGCCTAAATCCATCTATGCTTCTTTAAAATTGGGTCCATTAAAGAAAACTGGAATAATCATTCAATTAGCTGACCGAACTAATGCATATCCTGATGGGTTAGTTGAAGATGTGTTGGTGAAGGTTAATGATTTAGTGTTTCCAGCTGATTTTTATGTACTTGATATGGATAATGACCACTCCCCCGACCCCTCACCTTTGTTGTTAGGTAGACCCTTTATAGGCACAGCACAGACAAAAATTGATGTTAACAAGGGTACCTTGTTCATGGAATTTGATGGGAAAATTGTGCATTTCAATATCTTTGATACTATCAGATATCCCTCAAACTCCAACTTTAGTTCAGTTTTTTCTGTGAGCGCTATTGACTCTGTAGTGCAAGAAGTGTTTGAAACTATTGGCAGGGATGAGTTGGAGGTGGTTTTAACAAAACACCTCGAGTTGGAGACAACTCTTGAGGTGGAGTGGAGCGAGGATCTAAAATGCACAATAGATGCATTACACTCATTGCAGACCACCACGAAAAGGTATGAAATCTTACCTATTTTTACTCCCGAACCTCACCAGAGGGTGTTGCCATCTGTGGTGCAGGCACCTGTACTGGAGTTGAAACCTCTGCCAGAGCACCTGAAATATGCATATCTGGGTGACAATGAGACACTCCCGGTGATTATCTCATCGGCACTGTTAAAAACCCAGGAGGAGAAACTGATCCGGGTCCTTAGAGAGCATAAAGAGGCGATAGGTTGGACAATCGCCGACATTAAGGGGATCAGCCCGGCCATCTGTATGCACCGGATTAGACTGGAAAAGGATGCTAAACCTGTTCGGCAGGCTCAAAGGAGGCTTAACCCCCTCATGATGGAGGTGGTGAAGAAGGAAATTTTGAAATTGTTAGATGTTGGGATTATTTTTGCAATATCAGATAGCCCCTGGGTGAGTCCGGTCCAGGTAGTCCCAAAGACAGGAGTGACGGTAGAGGCTAACCAAACCGGTGAACTTGTACCAGTGCGAAAGCCCACTGGATGGAGGCAATGTATTGACTATCGTAGGCTGAACGCCGTCACAAAGAAGGACCATTTCCCCCTCCCTTTCATTGACCAAATGGTTGAACGTTTGTCTTGCAGGGCTTACTATTGCTTTTTGGATGGATTTTCAGGATACTTTCAGATAGCAATTGCACCAAAGGATCAAGAGAAGACAACCTTCACGTGCCCGTTCGGGACCTTTGCCTATAGACGAATGCCATTCGGGTTGTGCAATGCGCCTGCAACATTCCAGAGGTGTATGGTAAGTATTTTTTCTGAGTATGTGGAGAAAATTATTAAAGTTTTTATGGATGATTTCAGTGTGTATGGTGATAGTTTTGATACATGTCTAGATAACCTGAAATTGATCCTGATAAGGTGTATAGAGACTAATCTTGTGCTTAATTGGGAAAAATGTCATTTTATGGTTGAGCGCGGGATAGTCCTGGGTCATGTTGTGTCGTCTAAAGGTATCGAGGTTGACAGGGCAAAAATAGATATTATATCTGCATTGCCTTACCCTGCAAATGTGCGGGAGGTGCGTTCTTTTCTTGGACATGCAGGTTTTTATCGAAGATTTATCAAGGATTTTTCAAAAATTGGGGCCCCGTTGTTCCAACTTCTACAAAAGAATGTAACCTTCGAGTTTGATGACAAGTGTGAGAGAGCCTTCGACAAATTGAAGGAATTGTTGACCTCACCTCCAATCATCCAGCCCCCTGACTGGAATTTGCCATTTGAGATCATGTGTGATGCCAGTGACCATGCTGTAGGGGCTGTATTGGGGCAAAGAGTAGGGAAGGCAGCTCACGTCATCTACTATGCATCCCGAGCATTGAATGGAACCCAGTTGAATTACTCCACCACTGAGAAGGAGCTTCTTGCAGTAATTTTTGCTCTAGAAAAATTCAGGTCATATCTGTTAGGTGCTAAAGTGATTGTATTTTCTGATCATACAGCATTAAGGTACCTGATGACCAAGAAGGATGCAAAGCCGAGACTCATCAGGTGGATATTGCTACTACAGGAATTTGACCTGGAAATAAGAGATAAGAGGGGCTCAGAGAATTTAGTAACTGACCATTTGAGTCGTATACCCGTTGGAGAGGATAATGAACCATTGAGGGATGCATTCCCTGAAGAGCACTTATTTTCTTTAAATTCTCAGTTGCCTTGGTATGCCGATCTGGTCAATTATTTGGTAACTGGTGATTTTCCTGCAGGTTGGCCAAAATCGAAGAGGGATAAATTGAAGAGCGACGCCAAGTATTTTATCTGGGACGACCCGTACCTGTGGAAGAGGTGTGCAGATCAAGTGATGAGGAGATGTGTAAGTGAAATGGAATTTCAATCAATTTTAGTTTTTTGTCATACCTTTGCTTGTGGAGGTCATTTTGGACCCAAGAGAACTGCTCATAAGGTATTAGAAAGTGGATTTTATTGGCCTTCATTGTTTAAGGATGCCTATGTGTTTTGTAAGTCCTGTGATCGCTGTCAAAGGGTAGGTAATATAACCCGTAGGGATCAAATGCCCCAGGTCCCGTTGATTTTTGTTGAAATTTTTGATGTCTGGGGTATAGATTTCATGGGGCCTTTTCCTACTTCATTTGGTTTTCTATATATTTTGTTGGCAGTTGATTATGTGTCTAAGTGGGTGGAGGCTAAAGCCACTCGGACTAATGATTCGAGAGTAGTTGCAGATTTTATCAAGTCTAATATTTTTGTGCGATTTGGAATGCCAAGAGCTATTGTCAGTGATAGGGGAACGCACTTCTGCAAAAGAACCATAGCTGCGTTGTTTCGCAAGTATGGTGTACTCCACAGGGTCTCAACGTCATACCACCCTCAGATCAATGGTCAAGCAGAGGTGTCGAACCGGGAGATTAAGTCCATTTTAGAGAAAATGGTGCGCCCTGATAGGAAAGACTGGAGCCAAAGGTTGGAGGATACACTCTGGGCCTATAGGACGGCGTACAAGACTCCTATAGGGATGTCACCGTACAGGTTGGTATTCGGGAAGCCGTGCCACCTTCCAGTGGAGTTCGAGCACAAGGCTTTTTGGGCGATAAAGCAATGCAACATGAATTTAGAGGAGGCCGGTGCCCAACGGAAGTTGGATTTGCAAGAATTGGAGGAGATTCGGAACGAAACCTACGAAAATGCAGTAATTTATAAGGAGAAAAGTCGGACATTTCATGACCAACAAATTTCAAGAAAAACATTTGAAATTGGTCAGAAGGTCCTCCTATACCAATCAAGGCTCAAGCTATTCCCAGGTAAGCTACGTTCCCGTTGGATTGGACCTTTTATTGTTACTCACGTTTTTCCATATGGTGCAGTTGAGATCCGAGGTGCTAAGACAGACAACAAATTTGTGGTGAATGGACACCGTTTCAAATATTATTACGAAGGATTTTCAGGTAGAGAGGTGGAGACAATAAGGCTAGACACACTACCGTGTCCTAATCAGTGACACTTTACCATGTCTAGCCAAAGACATTAAAGAAAGGCGCTCATTGGGAGGCAACCCAATTGTCCCTTTTTAATTGTTGGTTCAATTTCGTGTGGTAGTTTAGAGGTGTTCTCCTTGAATTCGACTGATTTTGGGGTTCAGTTTTCGTTTTTGCTGATTTATAGGTACCCTTCAGTCATGACGTGCCCGCGTGGTGACGTGCAGGAAGCTCAAGTTCAGAACTTCTGGGAGCTCTCTTGCCCTCATGACGTGCCCGCGTGGTGACGTGCAGGAAGCTCACGTTCAGAACTTCTGGGCGCTCTTTTGCCCTCATGGCGTGCCCGCGTCACGTTTGCGGGAAAGGTAATGATTCAAAAACAAAAATAAAAATATAAAAATAAAAATTTCTTACCACCGTAGCTTTAGTTTAAAAAAAAAAATTTATTTAAAAATTCGAAATCGATTTCGGAAAAAAAAAAAAGGGAATATTATTCCCGTGGCTCAAATAGCCTCATAATTGGAAGAAAAAGAAAAGAAACATTTTTGAAAAAAAAAAGCAATTTTTTTTTCTTTCTTTCTTTTCCTTCTTTTTTTTTCTTTCTTTTCTTTCTTTTTTCTTTCTTTCTTCCTTCTTCTTTCTTTCTTTTTTCTCTTTTCCTTCTCCCCTGCGCCCTCTCTGTTGTCCGAATCTCTTTGCCCGCCGCCCA